TTTTTCAGTACTTATACATCAAAACAAAACCAAATCACAATACAAATATTTACATTCAAAAAAAAAAAACACCCTTCATTTTTTTTACGGCCACACGCTGATCAAAATAAACATAAAAAAAAAAACGCCCTTTATTTTTTTTCCGGCCCTACGTCGATCTTACTTACTTGCCTCTTCCATCATTTTCTTCTTTCTTTTATCACCTTGGGCGACGCTTGACGTCCCTACCCTCGTGCTTTTGTCAAGAGCGAGAACTCCCCGCCGACTATCAAAAGCCAAGAACGGCGTTACTCCAAATTGGGTCATGGAGATAGTCTTCCATTTAAGCTCTTTATTTTCGGCCTTCAGTGCGCCTATCTCTGCTCACGCATCCTTATACATGCGCTGGAGAAGAGTGAGTTAGGCGTTGACCTGTATGATGTTATGTATTATGGTATTATTTTCAAACTAATCTGATTATGTATTTATAGTTTGATATCTTAGTCTCATATAATGTCTCTAATTAAAGCTTATTTATTACACATGTGCTAACCTATGTATTTAGAAATGAATTCAGAGAGCATGACTTGAGGGAGAGCCTTTCTTACTCCCAAATCAAATCAAAACATCATTGTGTGCCATCATCAAAAAGGGGGAGATTGTTAGACTTATTTATTTTGATAATTTATTTAATTATATTTTAATTTATTTGAAAGAGAAAAATAGAATCCAAAATTTATTTTGATGATTTATTTAATTATATTTTAATCAAAATTTATTTTGATGATTTATTTGAAAGAGAAAAATAGAATCAAAATTTATTTTGTCCCATTATTTCTCACCTAAACCTTTATCCTAAATGTTGTTAGAATGTATTTAATATTTGATTAAATCAGGAGTTCAAACAGTCCAAAATAAAAGGTTCAAACAGCCTAGCACAGCAACAGGTCAAAAGGTTCAAAAAGTTTAAGTGAAAGATATTCAAATTAGTAATGATGGAAGTACAATAGCTATAAACGGCTATAAAGGTTCAAAAGGCTAAAAGGTTCAAGTGGAAGATATTCAAATTTGTAATGATGGAGTGGAAGTTATTCAAATTGGTAATGATGGAAGTACAGCGGCTATAAACGGCTATAAATTCAAATAACTACAACGGTTATAAACGACTATAATTTTCATTATATATACCAAAGCCTCTAATTTAAACATGTTACAAAAAACCTGAAAATATTCTTTGATCTATAATCACTCACATCTATTCTCAGAAATTATACACTGAGTCTTATAACTTTAAGCTCATCTTTCCTGTATGAGATTTACAGAAAAATTAAAGTTTCATTTTATATATCTATCTTTGAGAGATATTTATTGTAAGCTTTCTTTTAAAGCAAAAATACCATTTCATCTTGTAAAAGTGTTGCAAACACTGTGTTCTTGAAATTTTGAGAGTGATTGTGAATCACGTAAGATTTGCAAGGGTTTGGACTTGTGAAGCCTGTGTAAAATCCCTGGAGGATTCTCCATTTGTAAAGAGGTTGCTAGCACCCTTGTGAAGCTAGAAGATAGTGAAAAATCTCAAGTGAAGCTTGAGGAGTGGACGTAGGCCAAGTTGAAATCGAACCACTATAAATTTGTTTGTCTCTCTCTCCCTTATCTCTTTATTTTATTTTAAATTACCATAGCTATATTTTATATTTTTACTGTGCTAAAATCATTAATTGACATAGTTGTTAAGACACTTGTTTTAATTATTTTTATTTCATTAATTATATTTATCTATTGTACTAGTCATAATTTTTATTAGGGTATTATTAATTTTAATTGTAAAAACCTAATTCACCCCCTCTTAGGTTGTCTTTAGGGTAACACATTATATTAGGAATCTCACTTAATCTCACTGTACTAATAATATTATCAAACTTAGTCATGTAAATGATTGGGCTGGAAGATGATTTGAATACCATTAATGCTGTGTTTGGTTGAGAGTTTGAGTAGGAATTTGGAAAGAGAAATAGAAAATGTAGGTAAAATGTGAATAAAACATACTTATATTTCACCTAATTTCACACTTTTTTCATTTTCCTTTCCAAATCTCTTCCCAAATCTCCCAACCAAACACAGTATAAGAGAAATGTTTCATCTCCCTAGTTCATCACCCCCTAATTGCACTTCTAATAAGGTGGCAAACAATAATAACAAATTAACTCTCTTCAAAGTGTGGGATCACTTTACATAAGAGTGAGTCATATCATTAAGAGTAAAATTAAGGGTGCAAAATTAGAGAGATGTAGCATCACTCTATCATCAATTAGGGTAAGTCTTTTGAAAAATTACATGATAATCCTGGGACAAAAAGTAATACTTGGGATATCATAAAAAATTATTAAATATGTTACACAATATTCATATTAGTGTGATGAGACCCATACAATTGTGAGAATTTCTAAAATATTTGATAATTCATTTTGTCCGGAAAAATTCACACAATGTCCCAATTTGATATTTATTAATTAAAATTATAGTATCTATTACTTTTGTTAAGATTCTAAAAAATAACTTAACCGGTATGATGTAATAAATATTACTTTTGTTAAGATTCTAAAAAATAACTTAACCGGTAAATTATAGGATCTATTACTTTTGTTAAGATTCTAAAAAATAACTTAACCGGTAAATTATAGGATCTATTACTTTTGTTAAGATTCTTTTGATATTTATTAATTAAAATTATAGGATCTATTACTTTTGTTAAGATTCTAAAAAATAACTTAACCGGTAAATTATAGGATCTATTACTTTTGTTAAGATTCTAAAAAATAACTTAACCGGTATGATGTAATAAATAATATAAAATATTGTTCCATGACCACAAAATAATCTTATCTCTCGCGTGGACCACCTCCCTTGACTTCCCCGTTAGTTTTGGTTGAGCCCAAGCTACGATTCCTTCATTTTTTTTTTTTTTTATAAATTATAAATATATTAGTTGAAATTTGTTTAAAGTATAAATTATTTTCTGTAGTTTTAAAAATTATATTTCATCCCTCTAAGTTTTCAATTCATAACAAATGGCCTATTTTTTTAATCAGTTATCAAGTCAATTAACAGTTTTTAATAATGTGATAAATTTATTTTAATTAATAATTTAGGTAATTTTATTATTCTATATGTGAACAGTTAGAAATTTTATATTCAGTTAATTCTATTAAATAAAAAATTCTGATAAAAGGGTATTTGTAATTTTTTAAACCATATAAGACAATCTGTATTTCAGGCAAATCTCAAAAATATATTTATAATTTATCATTTTAGGGCTGCTAAATGCCTACCTTTTTACTTTGAATCTTCCACTTCTTTGAACCCCCACTACCAAAATTGCTTCCTTCCTCATTTTTTTTTATTGGATTCCTACCATAATCCCAAATATATCCTCACTCCAACATTTTGTCTCTCTTTTTTCAATTCACTAACCGTAACCCACTCCGGCTAATGACCTCCCACGCCAGTAGCTTTCTCGTCATCGTCCGTTCACCCCCAGACTAGACTTATCACCACTTCTCTCCCATCCACCATCTTACCCCAACCCCTTATCAGGCCGTCACTCTCCTTCACCCTAATGGGGAGAGAAAGAGAGTCTCCTCCATCTAGGGGTTGTTTGGGATGTCCTAAACAAGTGCACTTTTTGTCTTTTTGGACTAAAAAATTGAGGAGAAAAATATGGATGTTTGGGTTAACTTTTTGACTTTTTATGAAAAAATGTGTATTAAAAAATTGTAAAAATTGGTTTGTAAGGGAAAATTAGGATTGGGAATTGTGCAATCGTAATTGTTAACTTTTGATGAATAGTGTTAACTTTTTAACTTTTTAAGTAACTTTTTAGCTTTTTCTCAATATCCCAAACTTGGCCCTAGTCTCGCCGGTTGACCTCTTCCTCCTCGTTCTTCCCTTCCTGTTTTGCCTTTCTCTCATCCTCCCCCTTCTCTTTTTCTTCTTTTTCCTCCAAAACCTTAACAATCGAATAAATCATGTTCAGCACTGTATTGCCGAATATTTAGGATTCGTTCAATACTATGTTCTCAAACCCATTCTGCCATCGTGACCTCTCCATTCACTAATGGAGAGAGCGAGCGAAAGAGATAGATAGAGATAAAAACCTAGGGTTTTTATAAGAAGAATAAGAAGAAAGAGAATGGCGGTGATGAGAGATGTGACCGACGAAAAAGGGTTGAATGTAGCAGGGTGAGGCGGAAATGGGCTTTGTAGCAATGAATAAGGGTGACGGAGAAAGGCTGGGTAGCTATGGCTAGTGGTGAGGGGCTGGGTGGTTGCGTCTGGTAGTGAAGGGAAGTTAAGAGAGTTAGGATTTGAGAAATTAGGATTAGCAAATTAGGAATAAAAGTAAAAGTGAAACTTTATGTTAGGTAAAATTGAAATTAAAAGTATATATATAAAAGAGCTAGAGGTTATAAGAAAAAGACAAAAGTAAATAGCCTTTATTTATTTATTTAATAGCATTTGTCAATTGGATTTGAGAAGAGGATTAAAAGTTAAAAGTAAGCTTCTAACCATTTTTGAATTATATCATTTTTGAATTATATCACTTATCATATTTTTTACATATTTTTTTTAAAAAAAGATTAATTTTTAACTATTTTTTCAAATCCCCTTAAACGTGGAATAATGCTTGTTTGTCATCAGATGAACGCTTGTCCGTAATTTTACTCCCACTTCGCACTTTGCTTTGACTCTTTGCTAAACAAAAACAAAATAAACACACAACCTGATAGATTATCGTCGTCGTCGTCGTTCCACGTACTTAAGTTTTGTTTGGCAAATAAATTAGGATTAATTTAATTCATTAAAAAATAAAATAAAATAAAATATAACATTCAATTATAATTAATTTTATTTTTTAAATAAAACTATAAAAAAATTCCCCAATAATTTTTTTTTAATAGTAAAATGGTTAAAAAGCCCAAACTTTTTTAATCATAGTAAAATAGTCAAAAAAAAATCCAGGCTAGAACGTTCTTACCAAACGATGACTTAGCCCATCACCGATGGTTGCTTAACTGAGAGATTCCAAGCTTTCTCCCTCTTTCTCTCTCTGACTCTGAAAACTTGAAGCTATGGCCAAGATTACACTATTGTTCCTGACAGTAGTCCTAATTTACTTTATCCTAACCCTTTTGTCAACAGAATCAGCTCCTGAAGATGCACTTGTCTCCCAGATTCCTGGTTTTACTGACAATTTTCCTTCCAAACACTTCTCTGGGTGGGTATCTCTGTGTTTTCTATTGTTACTTCCTTTTTTTTAAAATTTTATTTTAATTGTGGTGGTGGGCTTTCTTTTTCTTTCTTTCTTTCTTTCTTTTTTTTAATTTGGTTATAATATAATTTTTTTTTTTTGTTTTTTGGGTGGGGGAGAATCACAGTTATGTGACTATAGATGAAAATCATGGGAAGAAACTGTATTATTACTTTGTCCTCTCTGAAGGTAATCCCACAAAGGATCCAGTGGTTCTCTGGCTCAATGGTGGCCCTGGTTGCTCTAGCTTTGATGGATTTGTCTATGAGCACGGTAATCATTCAATCAGTTCTTTTTTTTTTACATTCTAAGATTATATTTAGTCATTTTTCTTTTCTTTTCTTTTCTTTGTGTTACTGTATGGTTTCTATATTGTCTTTTTTGGTTTGTTGAGGAAAACTTGATTGAAGCTTTTGCTAATCTTGTGAATCACTGAAACTGGTTGGATTCCTTGGATTGAGGCACAAATGAAAATTTTATACTGTGTACTTCAAAATATGTGAAGTGTGTATTTTGTTTCCATAGCCACATATTTCAGAATAGGATGGAGAATTCTTGAAATCCCCTTAGGAGAATGCTATGATGTGATCGTATGTACCTTGTGCAAAAAGCATAACTTCATTTTGTATAACTTTTTTGTCTTCACTATATGTAAATATAACTATTTTGCTTCTCACAAAATATATAACTTCTCTCACAAAAAGTATACTTCAGTTATACATAACTTTTAGGTGCACATTATAACTTCAAAATTCATAACTTTCATCACAAAAATCGTAACTTTCATCTCACAAAATGTACAACTTCTCTCTCAAAAAGTATAACTTTTCCTATAATGTGCACTAACCTCTCCCATATCTTTATGATTTTTGGGGCTCTTTTTGAGTTTTCAAATAACCAGTTTGTGGATTCAGATGCTATGGCCCTTTGAATCGAATAAAATAGCTGTGCTTTGGTTTAGATTTTCGTTGTTCATCTGGGATAATTTCTGTGCTTTTAAGATATGGACTTTCAAACTTAATGGTTTTGTTTACCCTCTTCTGCTTTCATCTATTGAAAGAACTTAATTCTTGGAAAATTAATTGTTTTTCTCTTCAATTCATTTAATTCGAGTAATGTGTGAAAGAATCTTTAGATCATATTATGCAGGACCATTCAATTTTGAAATGGGAGAGACAAAGGGAAGCCTTCCCAAACTACATCTCAATCCATATAGCTGGTCCAAGGTTATAAATTTGTTTTGAATGTCAAATAGCATTTATGTTACCCATATTTCTTAAATAAGCTCCTAAATTGATAATCTTTGTCTGCCAGGTTTCCAACATCATATATTTGGACTCTCCAGCTGGTGTTGGATTTTCTTACTCGGGAAATAAATCCGATTACATTACTGGAGACCTGAAAACTGCTTCCGATTCACACACATTTCTCCTCAAGGTAATCATTTGAAATGAAATAACAAGAAAATGAAAACGGTTAGAAACTCTTCTCATAATATTGATTTTACATATAGTTGCGTTCTAATATGTTAAAAGGATCAAGTTTCTTGAAATTGTTATTGTGTAACTAGTGGTTCGAGCTGTACCCGGAATTCCTTTCCAATCCATTTTTTATTTGTGGAGAGTCATATGCTGGAGTGTATGTGCCTACTCTGGCCTATGAAGTCATGAAAGGTATTTCTTCTGATCTTTGAAGTCTGAAGTTCATGTGTCGTGAATTTTGTATCAAAGCCTAAGGGTGCATTTTGGATCTTGCACAGGAATTAATGCTGGTGAAAAGCCTGTTCTCAATTTCAAGGTACGCCATTTCTAGAACTTTAAGTGAAGCACTTGTCAAAGTCTAATTTCTAGCTCACAAATTAAATGCATTTCACACAGGGTTATATAGTGGGAAATGGAGTTACGGACGAGGAGTTTGATGGAAATGCTCTTGTTCCGTTTGCATATGGGATGGGCCTCATCTCACAAGACCTATTTGAGGTGTTGGAGCTTTTCATTTTTTATCTACAATAGTCATGCTAGTTTCATCTACCTCATTACCCAAATATGCTTTCGAGTTTCAATGTATGGTGAAATTATTGTTTGAGGTTATGTTCATATCAAGGGTTTAAAATTGATGGAAAATTTGAAGATTTTGACACTTTGTTTCTTTTGAATGCCACTTCAATTAAGTTTTTTTTGAGGATATTTCAATGCATATATATTTACAAATATGCCTATAATTTTGAGATTTAGTTGAAGGCAGCACTAAACCTTGTACTGGTGGATTTATTTCCTCTTATTCATATTTAGTCTAAACCTATAGAAAATTAATCACTAAACAAAAAGAAAATATAGCAAGATTTGAAATATCTGACTGCAAATTCAATTTTTCTCAATATTTTGGTATTTTATCTCAAAATCAACGAGATTCATACATAAAATTGAGACGGTACCTAAACTATGTGACAATCCCTTGTTTATCAGCAACATATTTCTAATTATGCATGCTTCGTACTGCAGGAAGTTACTTCTGAGTGTCAAGGAAACTACTATAATCCAGCAACTGACAATTGTGAAAACAAGCTTGCAAAAGTCGACAAAGTACCATACTGCTTTTCTACTATCCAGACAGAGTTTTAACAAAAAGCATACAAGTTTTTTTTTTTTTATTTATTTTTTATTTTTTTAACTTACCTTTTGTTTTCTGTCTCAATGCAGACCATTGAAAGTCTAAACATATACAATATTCTGGAGCCATGCTATCATGGCACAGAAATTTTAGAGATGACTACTGGTAATACGAAGTTGCCACTGAGCTTCAGGAAATTAGGTGAGACTGAAAGACCCCTTCCTGTAAGGAAAAGGATGTTTGGGCGTGCATGGCCTCTTAGAGCTCCAGTAAGAGATGGAATTGTTCCAACTTGGCCACAACTTCTTCAAAGTAATAATGTCCCATGTACTGTAAGTCACTCAAGTTACCATCCTTCTAACCTTTTTATTCAGCCAATTTTCGTTACCTTGGTTTGCTTGAACATGGACATTTAAATTGTCAGCTAACATTAGTAAAAGTAGCATGTCTTCCGCATTTGCCTCATTACAATAATTGATCATCAGTGTTTCTTAAAAGATCGCTGTTTGGTTTTAAAGCTGTTTATAGTTAGAAATATGATGCAGCTTCTATTTACCACTTATGAGGCAGAAATAATTTAAATCAGCTGAAAGATATTGACTATTCAGAAACAGGAGGAGAGATGCTTTTAGCTTTCTGCTTTATGATTATCTACTTTGAGCTTGCTAGAAGCTACACAAAACAAGCCCAATTTAACTCCGGTTATCTTTGCAAACATTTGTCCTCAACTTTACCATTTTTTTTTTAGAAACTACAAAAGCATTGAATAATGCTTCTTTTTTTTTTTTTCAGTACACAGGTTCCTTGGTTTCATTTTTCTCTTCCTCATCATATATGCTTGGTCACCTTCTTGGGCTTAATTACAACAATTTTATCATAATTGGGAATTTGGAATTCACGATGCAGGATGATGAAGTTGCAACTTCATGGCTCAACAATGAAGCAGTTCGGAAAGCAATTCATGCTGAACAAGTAAGAAGTTTTCGTCATATATCAATTTCTATATGATTTGAAAGCAATTTTACCTTTATAATCCTGCTATACTTTTATTAGGGAAGTGTGGCGGGCAGTTGGGAGTTATGTACTGGCAGAATCCTATTCCGCCATGATGCTGGAAGCATGATCAAGTATCACAAGAACCTCACTTCCAAGGGATATCGAGCGCTCATATTTAGGTTAGACCAACAACTACACCTTGTTTATTATTATAGTATTTGCCCTATATGTATATATATCCTTTGTTTATTTATATTAGTTCACGCATATTTTTACATTTTGTGACAGCGGTGACCATGACATGTGTGTTCCATACACTGGGAGTGAAGCATGGACAAGATCAGTTGGATATAAGATTGTTGATGAATGGCGGCCTTGGACTTCCAATGGACAAGTCGCTGGGTATGTCACTACAATTCATTTCATCAATATTATGGCATCAATGAGAAACTAATGACACTGTTTAAATAATAATAAAAAAAAAACCATAACTATTATCTTCTTGGTTGCAGATTCCTACAAGAATATGAGAACAATCTCACCTTTCTCACCATAAAGGTTTCTACATGCAATCTCTATTAGTTTGTCATAAATACAACAAGGCATTTATCCCAAACATTGGGATTTTATTTTTTTCAGAGGTGGATTCCGCATTTAATTTTTTGTTGTTGGTGCAGGGATCTGGACATACTGTTCCAGAGTACAAACCACGCGAAGCATTGGACTTTTATAGCCGTTGGTTGATGGGAAAAACAATATGAAATAACTTTAATGGTTTTTCAAATGAAATATTAATTTTTCATTTTCTATTTTGGTTGTCCTGGCCGACAACTATGAGAACGGTGGAAAAGCTAAATTATAAACAAATTTATAATTGAACTAGAGAATAACCTTAATTTAGAAATTTTTATGTATTATTGGACTGGACTGGACTGAACTGAACTGAACTTATTATCTATCCACCAGCCTCTTTGCCTTCTACCAAAGAGCATTGTGTTTCCATTTTGTTTGTAACAATAAAGCACACATAAAATTTTAGTGTATGGTAGTGTAAGAGGAACTTTGATTTTATAGGTTGTTGTTGTACTTTAATATGCTGTTTGATTCTTGGATTGGAGCAAGGTTGCCTTATAGTTGTTTTGGTAAGATGTATGGTCGTGGGGAGCAGGGACGGAGTTAGTGAGCGACCAAAGGGGTCACGTGCCTCAGTGCCTCTGACTTTTCAATTATTTTTTTTTAGTTTTTTATTTTTAAGTCGTAACTCTATTAAACACGTATAGCAGCAGTCCCACACACTACATTACAGGGTCCATCCAATTTCATCAAATGTCTACTATACTCTAAACACTTTGGTTTGCATATTTTGTTGATAGTGCTTCATTTTATTTTATTTTTGTTGTTATTTGTGTTAAAATTAAAAATATTAATTTGTGGTGATTTATATTTAAATTAGGAATTTTGATTTCTTATGATTTTTTGTTAAAATTAAGACTTGATTTGTTGTGATTTGTGCTAAATTTAAGAATTTTGATTTGCGGTAAAATTGGAGATTTCGATAATTTGATTGTCTACATAGAGAGAGAGAGATATATATATATATATATATTTTTAATTACATTGATAATGATACTATCTTGGAGTCCGGGTCAATTGTAAAAGTTTACAATTAAATTTTTTTTGTAATGAATATTTAAGTTTTTGTGTTTAATATTAGCTCGAAAAATTGTGTTTGGTTTTAATTTTTTGTATTTAATTTTGAAAAAATTAGTCTAAGGTTCCTCTCATTTTTTAGTAATAGAATTAAACAATTTTTTTTTACTTTTTTAGATGCACCTGTTTAGATGTATCTAAATAACAAAATATTTGTAAAAAAATGTTTTAAAAAATTAATAAATGCACAAAAATACAAAAATACAAAAAAAAGTATTAAATTTTCATATTTTTTAATATATTTTTTGGTATTTTGTGTATTTTTTAAAGATTTTTTTTACAAATACTATACTTTTTAAGTGTATTTATGTTAGGTGTGTCTAAAAATTAAAAAAAAAATTATTAAAAATATTTAAAAAATTCATTGAAAACATTAAAATACAAAATATAAAAAAGTAGAATTTTTTAAAAATTATTTTCTGAAAATCAAAATCAAACAAGCTGATTATTATGTTATTGTTATTGATTAGGGAAGAAAAATTTTGAAATCGTAATTTATAAAGAGGTTTTTTTTTTTAAGGTCTCTGGTATTATGATTTTATAGTATAAAGGACACTCAATATTTTTATAATGTCTAAGGTCCCTCAACATCAATCCAGAAAAAATTCGATCCAGAGAAAATTCAACCAGAGAAAATTCGATCCAGAGAAAATTCGATCCAGTGAAATTCTTTGATCCAAACTCAGAGAAAATTCAATTTAATCCAGAGAAATTCTCTGGTCCAAAACCAGAGCAAATTCAATTCAGTGTTATTCTTTGGTAAAATTGGATTGATTAAGATAGAGTCCACTTATTCACTGAATTCAATTCAGTGAAATTCTTGAATTTTCAATTGAATCAGTGAAATTCAATTCAGTGAATCAGAATGAGAATGCTCTGATTCTACATGATATTGTGGATGTCTAATCCAATTTTACTCAATTAAAGGCAGAGAAAATTAAACAAACTGAGTTTAAACTAGAGAAATCCAGAGAATTTCTCTGGACTAGGAAAGAATTTCTCTGGACTCACTTCAACTCATAGAAATTTTCTCAAAACCAGAGAAATTTCTCTTAACAACCCAGAGAAATTTATTCAAATCAGAGAAATTCCCCCCTCTCCAAATCACTCAACCCAGAGAAATTCACAACTCATAAATCATCATAAATCAATCCTTATTCATCTTTGTAAAAAGAAATAAAAAATTAAAACTAAATCAAAAATCAAAGAAACCATAAAATAACAAAAACCCAACATTAAAAATCCGAAGATATTTAGGGGTTACCAGACAGATTTGGTCTTGCAATTGATTGACATCAAAGACCCACTGACCATACTGCAATTTAATCCGATCTTCGAGAAATTGTCTCTCTTTTGCAAGAGACTCAATCTGTGTTTGTTGTCTTCGTAACAAGTGTGTGAGAGCGTTGAAAACTTTCTGCCATTGTCGACGATTGGAAGAGACATTCGAGCCTTTTAGAGCGCCCACGTTAGAACTGTACATGGAAACTAGGGTCTCCGGTGGAAGTGTTGGGCTTCGAGGCACTTGGTACGTGAATCTCCGCCGAAAATCGACCATTTTGTCTCCTTCGCTCCCATTCGTCTTCTTATAATCGCATCGACCATTTTGTCTCCGTACTTTTTCTCATCTACTTCAACCCGATCTGCGCCTTCTTCGAGTCTCTCTTCGTGATCGACCGTGGATTTTAGGGAGAGGAGAGAGAGGCCGTCGGAGGAGAGAGAGTGTGTGAAGTTGAGATTTTGGATGTAAATGAAAAAACATAATAGGAACAGAGAGAGTTGAGACATTTGGAGAAAACAGAGCAGAGCAGAGCTGATATATGTTTAGAGAGAGGAAGAGTCAAATTTCTCTGATATATGTTTAGGGATCTTAGACATCAAAAAATATTTTTGTGGATCTCTTCTATTACAAAAAGTGGGAGAGGGACCCTAGACCAATTTTTCCATTTATAAATGCTTCTTATATTAAATTTTTGACTCTGTCACTGAAGAAACCCCTCCTCAATGATGTAAGGGATATTTGCCTTAATTAAAATTCTTACACCTTACTAAGCTCGAGGGTCTTAGTCCTCTTCTCAAGTTATGGCCTCCAATCTACCCACAAAGAAGGGGTAGACCTCTGTTATTTGGGCCGATTCTTTTGTAGCATTTTGTTTTTAATAAAATTACTTACTGAATATAAAAGAAAATAAAATTGCACCAAGTTGGGAAATTGCATTAACGTAGGCACTTGAGAAGAGAGAATGATCTTGTTTAATTGTGGATACAGCCAGTCACAGGTTCAACACTTTCTGTTCTTGTTATTAAAAATGTTAAAAAGGATGACCGATAAAGCAATTTTTTTTTTTGTTTTATATTTTTAGAAAGAATGATGGAGAAATAATTCAATGAAAATTATAGGGGGATTGGAATAGTTATGAACTTATAAATTAAAAAAAATGATATGGGTAATATTAATGCAATAAAAATGAGTACTTTTTTGTTTTTGTTTTTTAAGCATATTAAAGAACACCCATCTAAAATAAATAAATGAAAAAAAGCATATTAAAAAACAATTATATAATCTAATACAACAGGTGTGAGAAAGGGACCTGGATCAATTATTGGATGATGATTGAATAAAGAACGTGATAAGGATCTTTTTTCGTGAGAAAGAGATAATAGGAATGACAAATGATACAAGTCAATCCCAAGCATATTCCCTAAAAATGAGTACTTGCAGTGCAACTTCCCACTTTGATATTTGGGATTATTTTTTTTTAACAGGAAATATTTTTTGTTTCCATTATTAAAAACAAAAACATGGTTATATATGCTTTCAAAACAAGCAAAAAAATTAAAATTTAAAATATATTTGAGTAAGTATTCAAATGCAATGGTAGAAGGTGCGGGACGGGGGAAAGATATTGAAAACTTATTTTGAAAACAAGTAAAAATGCCTTTCTATTTAGTTTTCAATTTTTGAAAATTTTAAAATTGTTTCCATTTTTTAATAACAAAATCAATTAATAAAATGTAATTTTGATAGGAAATTTGGATAGAGCTCCTTTTAAGTTTATATTAGTATAAGGACAAACAAAAAATACTTATCAGTTTCAGTCTTTCAATATCTTGTAGAGAAAATTTTGAACAAAATACCTCCACTAGTAACGCTCTAGCACATTTAACACATTTCACCTTTTGAAACATTTAAAAATTTAAAATTCAATAACTTTTTATTTAGATTTTCATTTTCAATAAAATTTGTATTTTTTGAATGGTTTAGTCAAGATCTATAAAAACAAGAATATGAAATTCTAAAAAATAAGAAACCCCTCCTCAATGATGTAAGGGATATTTGCCTTAATTAAAATTCTTACACCTTACTAAGCCTCCGTTTGGGAAGTGGGTTGACTTTTTGGTTTTTTTTTGTTATTTTAGCCTGGGCTAAAAAGTTTGGTTTGGGAAAGACTTTTTGACTTTTTGACTTTTTTGGATTTTTTTGTGAGAGAAGAGTGTAATGATTATGGGTTGGATGTGATATTTTGTTTTTTGTGGCTAAAATAACCTATTTTGTCTTTTGTGATTAAAATAGCCAAAAAAATCCCGTTTAGCTCTTGCCAAACGAAGCCTAAGAGCTCGAGGGTCTTAGTCCTCTTCTCAAGTTACGGCCTCCAATCTACCCACAAAGAAGGGGTAGACCTCTATTATTTGGGCCGATTCTTTTGTAGCATTTTGTTTTTAATAAAAGAATAATGTTTGGTGGCCCGAAAAATTCTGCCCCGAATGGCTGAAACGACGTCGTTTCAGCCATTCAATTTTTTTTTTCTTCTTCCTCAGTCTGATACGCAGTGAGGGAGGAGAGAAAGAGAAAGAGAAAGAGAAAAATTGGGAGAGGGAGAGGCCGTCGCCGTCGCCGTCGCCGTCGCCGATAGCCGATCGCCGCGCCTCCGCCTTCGCCGCCTCGCTGCTCTGCTCTGATCGTCGCCGTCGTTGCTCTGATCGTTGCCTCCGCCACTCGTCGGCTCAGCCCCGCTCGTCACCTCCGCCGATCGTATCGCCTCTGCTGCCTCCTCCTCCATTTTTTAGGCCCCCTCCATTCCTTCCTCCCCCTTCCCCTCCTCTCCCTCCTCTCCCCCTCCTTCCCTTCTTCGTCTTCCTCCTTTCTTCTGCTGAAAAGAAAAAAATAAATAAAAATTAGGGGCATTCGGGGCGTCCCGTTTTCGGGCCCCCAATCACTACGTAGCACCACTGTTAATAAAATTACTTACTAAATATAAAAGAAAATAAAATTGCACCGAGTTGGAAAATTGCATTAACGTAGGCACTTGAGAAGAGAGAATGATCTTGTGTAATTGTGGATACAGCCTGTCACAGGTTCA